AAAACTCGCCCAATTTGAACCAAAGTCTATTGATCTCTAAGGCCATAAATCTAAAGAAAATATATTTTTTTTACCCATAGACGGCCATCCTAAACTGCAGCGTAATAACTTTAGCCTTAAGATGCAAAACCCCATGATGCACCGCAACATATTTTTGCAAAATATTCAAACATAAATCCGCCAAATATAAGAGGAACATCGTAGTGTGGTTTAAAGAAGATATTTTAGTTTTACTATAATTTTGTTTCTTGCAAGGATTTTAAGGTTTGAAGAAATAGAAATTACACCATATGCCAAGTATCACAAGGATGTGCATGACAAGGAAGGCCTACTGTATGCATCATTTAGGGAGTTAACATTGCATTAGTTTTTGAGCTCCTTAAGTTATTTGGCCGGTGAGTAAGTGTTGGGGCCGGTATGATTTAAGGAGGGCCGACCCTCGCATGCTGAAATTAGGACCGGCCCACCGGGAAAATGCATCACAGATTACCAGTCCGAGTCTGGTAAGGCCGTCCTATGTGCTCATCTCCATTTTCACTTACCGGTAGTGAGACTGACATAGCTGGAAAATAGCTTATCTTCTTTTGGAAAGTTATCTTGCATGAGTGATGCAAACAGCAACTTTTAAACAGAGCATGCACAAGGAGAAATGGGCTTGTGCATGCTCTCACATGAGCTCAATTGGTGTTCCCTCTCAGGAGCGGGTACCGGGTTGTGCATGTGCATTTTCTCTTGTAAAGTGAAGAGGGTGGGTCTTCAAAAATCCGTAAAAATCCTCCACAATACCTTTAATTATAGAACAAATTAAGATGTTTCATTTTAAAGATGCCTGCTTGCAGAATCTAAAGGTGGATTTTCTTCCATTCCTGAAAGAAAGGTTTGAGGAAATCAAGTTGGTTGCACCATTTTGGTTCTAAAACGTGGCACTAACACCAATGTTATTTTGGTACTTAAATAGTTTATCACTTTTTAATCGGGTGTGATTCTAGGATCAAAGGTTCAGGGGGGTTAAGCACCTAGTGAGATTTCTGGCCAGGCGAGATGAATTTCACAGTTTTTTACACACATTTTTGAAACTTGCTTAATGTGTTTTGCCACTAACAGACTCCATCATTCTAAATCCATCATCTCTGAAATTTGTGCCAAATACCCGACAAGGAAAGCAAAAAGCTGCATTTTGTTTAGAAGAATATTCCATCCATTTAAAGCTTTTAGATTAACACATTTCATGAAAGCATTTGAATTAGTCTCCATCGAATGAGTTTTCTTTTTTGTGTGCAAGACTGACTTCTATTGTATTTGTAAAGCTGTTCACTGAATAAAAGGTTCTTCTTTGTAAGCTTATCAACTGCTGTTTGGCCTGCTTCTATTCTGTTTGTTTTCTTACCTGTTTTCTCCTGACCTTTCACTTTGCACACACCTTGCTCCTCTCCTTCCGCTTGTACACCTCTCCCTCTTTGGACCGGCAATCATGAAATGGATTGTAGTTTACTAGATAAATATATACAGTTGTGCTTGAAACTTTAGCAACACTCCCATTAAAGAAAAGGCTAAATTCACTGCAGTAATTCAAATAACAAGAAACAAATATAAATATTGATAAAGATTTACTCAACTATTATTCAGCAAATATAAACATTGACATTGAGTTGTGGTTTAAAAGATAATAAAATAAACAAAACAGTCCCAGACACATTAGAGCACCTTGCTCATGAACATTTCACCAACAAACTATTTTATGAGCCCCATCATACTTGTTTACTTGTTTTTTGTTTGTTTATTATTAATATTTCTCTTGAACAACAATTCAAAATGAATTTAATGATTTTCATTTTCATTTATTATTACTTTTGTCAATGTTAACTTATTTCATTGGCAACTGATTTCCCCCAAAACATCTTTAATGTAAACATTCAAGCAAAAATAAAGCCATCTCTCTGCTGTTTGAGGCAAATAACCAATGTCTTTGAAATTTATTAAGATACAAACATTGAAACAGGCTATTCTAACCCGAATCTAACTCTTTTTTTGTTTTATACAAAAGACAATCTGATGTTCACAGTGAGGCTGTCTGCACACACACACTCTCACTGCAGGATTCATAATATTAATGGCTACCCAGTTAGCTTGTCATTAGCACCTTTGGTTTTTCATAAACACATGCATATGACTGCAGCTAGCTTCTCTTATTCCTGTTTAAACAGGATAGTGGTAGTGAACACTTGTCAGGGTAGCTTACTACTACCAACACATAAAGAGAAACCTAAGTTTAAGCGCAGCAAACACGAGAACTGGTAATTACAATAATGTGTTGTTATTAAGTATTAGTTAAGCAAGTGCAACATATCCTGCTTAAAGCCAGATGCTTACACTACTATCACGGGTCTACGACTCGTAACACATTTCAGTACATACTTCAGCAGAGAGCGATCAGCCTCTGCAAATAGGTTTATTTTTTCAACACATTAACTGAAAAAAGGATCTTAAGTTTCAAAGTCTTTCATCCACTAGTAGTAGATGTATGTAAAGTATTATAATTGCATTGATCCGTCAGGCTGGATCAGATTTTTTTTAGGCCAAATCCAGACCAATGTTCAATCATTGTGTATTTATTGCTTTGATTTGATCTTTTCTTATTGGCCTTTTTCTATTTACCTGTATTTTAGAGCAATCTTCAGCTTCTAGGAAAGGGTATGTTCAATCTAGACTAAGGGTCACAGATCATATATTTCTATGTAATGACACTTGAGAATCTGAATTATCACAGTGCCCCTGCTGTCCTTAATGCCACAGTATACACAAATCCCCACTTCATTGTGTCTGTATTGTTGAAGTTAGTCTTGGAAGATGTTTTGATCCTAATCCATGTCCCGGATAAGCCCCCAATTATTGTTACTCAGCTCAAAAGACTGCGCACAACAGGGGATGCACAAAGCAAAATCATTGTGCAAAGATTTTTCAAGTATAGTTTAGATTATAGTATTAGAACTAAATTGGATAAAGCAGGGTTTCTCTTATATGAAGGAAAATCCAAACATTGCGGGTGTTGTTTTTAAGTTTACATGTGGCATTGTTTGGGTGCCAGTCCTGATACAAGAAAAAATAACACTAAAATCACTCAAAGTATCTACCTCTAGTTATATGACTAAACAGGAATTTAGTTATTTTAATTGCTGGGCTTTATTGCAATGAAGTAAAATTCCTTTGATCGTCTACATACCAATCTTAAGACAAACTAAATGTCAGCACAAGAAACTGAAGTCATAAAGTTCCCATTACACAACATATGAGGTACAACAAATGCTTTTGGCATTTAGTACACCTCTGAGAGCTTTCTGCTAGGTGTAAAAATATTTTTTCTTGTCTTCTACTCCCTGTTTGAAGACACTCAACTGTTTGTTCATTCTCCAGACACTGTCGGATGTGTGGATCCAGAGGAGTGTGTGCGGGTGTGTGGAGCTGAGGTTGGATGTTCCAACATTGCCTTCCCCAAACTGGTCATTGAGCTGATGCCAAGTGGTGAATTTTTTTTTCACTTGTCTTTTGTTTCTTGATATTTTAATCACATTGCTTAGCTTTATATCTATGCATGTGTGGTTATTGAACAACAGGCTTGAGGGGGCTTATGATAGCTGTGATGATGGCAGCTTTGATGTCGTCACTGACCTCCATCTTCAACAGCAGCTCCACACTCTTTACAATGGACATCTGGAAAAAACACCGGCCAAGAGCCTCTGAGAGGGAGCTGCTGTTGGTCGGCAGGTAAGCTACATCCCCGGTACACCCCAGGTGACCGGGTCGCTGTCTTACTATGCAATAAATTGTAACTCATGGATGTCAAACTAAAGTTCATGAGAGCCGACTTCCTACAACTTTTAACAAACCTGAATCAAATGGCTTTATTACCGCCTTAGCTGAAACCAATTCCTCCAGAGTTCTGCACAGATCTTAATTATTTGATTCAGATCTATTAAAGCAGAGACATATCTCAAGTCGGCCATTGAGGACTAGATTCTGGCATCCCTGCTGTAATTGCTCATAAAAGAATACGCCTTTGTAGAATATCGAAAAGTTGCTGTTATTGCTTTTGTTTGTCCCAGAATTGTAACAGTGATCCTGGTGATGGTGAGTGTGGTGTGGATCCCCATCCTGCAATCAGCCAATAGTGGCCAGCTCTACGTCTACATCCAATCAGTGACGAGTTACCTGGCCCCTCCGGTCACAGCCGTCTTCACTCTGGCAGTCTTTTGGAAGAGGACCAATGAGCAAGTATGAAGCTGCCACTAACAAACACACAGGAATGCAGAAAACACTACAAATCTGTGCGGTATGATTGCAAATGCATCGTTCTGTGGAGAAAGTATTAAAAACAAGAGTGTGCATTCTTTCTTTTAGCACCTTTGTCATTTAAAAAATGAATGCAGAATGCTTTGTCCATTATTAACCTATAACTAATTTCCAGGCATTGTTTATGTGAAAGTAATATAACTTTATTGATCACACACTGGAGAAGTTCACCTCTGCATTTGACCCATCCCCTTGGGGAGCAATGGGCTGCCATTGTGCGGCGCCCGGGGAGCAGTGTCAGGTTAAGGGTCTTGCTCAGGGAGCAAGAGGGCAAGCTGTGTGAATGGAACCAGGCACAAGTGCACTGCTCTAACCACTAGACCAAAACCTCCCCCACTACATATTTCCAGTGCACATATCTCAGTGAAAAATATTTGCTTGGTTGATATTAGAAATGTTTCAAGTTGGTAATTTTAATGTGAAATTCCTTGGAACTTCAGTTAATAAACAGGGAACCCGGATTTGAATTAAAGGCTGCCCTTAGTTTAGTGAAATCTAAAAAAAAAAAAATTTGATGAAATCATAAAACAGTAGCAGATGTTTTTAATTTTCTCAAGTAAAATTTTCATATGTGATTTGATATTTTTGCTTCCTTTTGTGTTGCACTGGAATACTGTTTTATTATTATGAGGTTGTGGCATTGCACAGCAGTTCCTCTCACTGCTTTATGTGGTGTCGATTTTCTTTGTTTGAACGTGTGATCACACACTTGGGAGTCTGTCTGTGATTCTCGCTCACTTTATGAAGTGTATTGTTTATATTTTCCTGTTCAGAAACCAGCTTGAATGAACTCTGTTCTCAGTTGGAAATCCCAAAGAAACCCATTGTATTAACAAGATGTGATAGAAAGTTTAGAACTGCAAGATAAAGACTATACGGCGTGGCTGAAATGTGATAACAATGCTAAACTAAGAATGTGTTTTCAAGGATGAAAATGTGTTGAAACATTGTTCATCTGCATGTAAAGACCAGTCTGCTGCAATCCGCTTTTTAATAGAGCAGCTTCTGGGTGTGTCTGCTGTCCTCTGGCATGCTGTTCAGCAGCTGAAATCAAGAGGATTTTATAAGGTTTTTCACCAAGAACAGGATTTTCTCCCTCAACGCTCTGCTAAACATCAGTCCCACAATGGCCCGTTTCAGAAAAACAAAGGTTGGAGCTGTCTTTAATTACTTTGGGTTTACCACTAGCCTGTCTGAGATTATGTTACCAGACACAGATCAGAAAGTATCCCTGTTATCTGAAATCCCTTTGGTCTGACACTTGCATCATCATTTGTTTTAGCAGCCTGTCACCTGGTCACTACACAAATTTAGCCTAGACTAATGTGTTAACAGCTGATTGCTGACTGGTTATTAGCAGATTGACACCTAGTTTTAATGCCTCAACACTTAGATGCATTCCAATGTGCATTTAACATTAATATTCCTCTTATTTAATAGAGTTTGTTTTTTATTAACATATTACCAACATGACATAATTAATCAAATAGGCTTGAATTGCATGCTGCCCCATCAGAAGTGATCAGTGAGATATTAAAGAAGAAAATATTTTTAAAAAGTCTATCTATTAAAAAACCAGGTGGATATTAAACAGTTTAAAAAACCTTTTATTTTTGTTAGACTTATTAGAAGAACTAAATCTTGTCATTTGACCTATAAAGTAGTCATATGAGAAGGGTAATGCAGTTATGTAATGCATGTGCCTGTGTGTGTTTAATGTTTTGTGAGAAACACTCTAAGCAGGTTACTATATAAAGCTAAATACTGTTGACCCGCGGGGTCAAAGGACACACCTTGCTGCACAGTTTATGTCACACTGAAGTTGTTTGACCAAACAGAATTGTGTTTACGTGTGAACCTGGACAGAAAATACAGCTTTATAAGGGTAATCAAACATACACTGATACAGGCAGACAAGGAAGCTCTGGCTTTATCAAATTGTGACATAATCATCCGGTCATTATTTAACCTCAAGAGTCCAAACACAGCAGTGGATGATGTTACCTGGCAACACCATCATCATTACCTATAAACAAGACCATGAAATTGATATCTTGGACCTATAACTGCTTCCTCAGTAAAACAAAGACCCAGTCTGCACCCTCACAGAATACCAGTCAGTAATTTTACATCTATAGCAACATCAATCACGTTAACTGTGTGTGTCTGATCGATGGTGTGACGGGCCATGTTTCTTTATTATGAGAGTTACAGTAAGTCAAGCTGGACAGATTGCATTCTTTCTGAAAGGTTAGAGATAAAAGGAAATAGATAGCTGCTTGCCTAGTGTTCCCGACTTGTGTTCATACAGTAACTGAGACGTAACATGAAAGGTTAACACAGTGGGAAAGTTTGAGTAAAACAATCGCAACCAAATGTTGTTTCAGGAATCGCTCTAAGCCTTCCAAGAGGTGCAAGTTCAGCATTTCTATGCAGAATAAAAAGCCTCACAAAACTAATCATACACACTTAACTTTTTTATTTTTTTTATTAGTTTGTCAAAATTAAAACCACAAACTTCATTGTATTTAATTGTAAATCTTGTTATTTACACAAAATATTTCAATATTGTAATCTAAAAGTGTTTTCAGCCTTACAGAGTCTATTGGAGTATTTACAAATGGAAGTCTTTTGGAGTATTTCTCTACTCATTTTGCATAGACAAATAGTACATAGTAATAATAGATAGTAAATAGCTTGAGTCCATTTGATCTGATAATGAATTCTTACCGTCTCATATATTCTGAATTGATTGATTGTCACGGCTGAGTTTGGGCCATCCTAGTCTTTTGTAGTTTCTAGCAACTTGTTTTCCTGTCCCATATTTAGCTTAAACTACTTTCACATCAACTCCTATCATATCTGAGTTGAATGAATAGGCTTCACCGTGGTGAGTTCAGAATTAATTTCAGAATAATACTTTTTTGCCACATATACTGCATAAATTAAAAACTTTTGCTGGATTACTCTGCTACTACCTGACATATGACCTGGTAACAGAGTTTCTTACCTCTGCTGCAGATCACTGCAGCTTCTGCAAGGTTAAATGTAGAGTGGAAGATTTTCGCAAGCTTTTAAAAAGATCCACCCTCTCCACTTAAAAAAAAAAAAAAAAATGCACATGCACAACCCTGTACCTGCTCCCAAGAGGGAATGCCTATTAAACACGTGTGAGAGCATGCACGTGCCCATTTCTTCTCGTGCACGCTCTGTTTAAAAGTTGATGTTTGCATCTCTCATACAAGCTTACTTTGCAAAAGATTTGCAATTTTTCTGCTATGTCAAACTCACCACTTGTAAGTGAAAATGGGGACGAGCACGTAGGATGGCCTTATATAAACATATCAGCAGGATGCTTGATAATTACAAAGACCACTTATTTAGATGATCCACCCAGAAAAAGAACAGATCATACCTGACATATGGCCTGGTAACAGAGTTTCTTACCTCTGCTGCAGATCACTGCAGCTTCTGAACGCTTAAATGTATAGTGGAGGATTTTAGTGAGCTTTTAAAAAGACCCGCCCTCTCCACTTAAAAAAAAAATAATGACCATGCACAACCCTGTACCCGCTCCCGAAAGGGAATGCCTATTAAATACATGTGAAAGCATGCACGTGCCCATTTCTCCTTGTGCACGCTCTGCTTAAAAGTTGATGTTTGCATCAATCATACAAGCTTACTTTGCAAAAGATTTGCATTTTTTCTGCTATGTTAAACTCACCAGTCGTAAGTGAAAATGGGGATGAGCACGTAGGATGGCCTTACCTAAACATATCAGCAGGATGCTTGATAATTACATGGACCACTTATTTAGATGATCCACCCGGAAAAAAAACATCCTCCACTCTACCTTCAACATGGGCTTCTTATTTTCTTAGTTAACTTGCAGGTTTGCATGGAAAGAGTTTTCTGTTGGTTTGCAGTTGTACCGCTCTCCTTCTATTTTAAGCATAGGGACTTAACAGAACTCTGTGAGATGGTCAAAGTTAGGAACACTGTTTTGTGACCTATATCTGCTTGATAACATCTCAACAACTTTCTACTGGCATTGTCTTTGCTGTTTTTTTTCTTTCATCTTTTTTTTATTTTGGTCTATTGACTAATGTTCTCAAAGAAGTCTCTGAGGCTTTAACAGTGCAGTTGGACTGATACTATGGTTATATCTAACACAGCTGGACTGTATTTGCAAATTAAAAAGATGAAGTCTGAAAGCAAATGGTTGGACTAGATTTTGTTTTGCGGTATCAAAGTAAAAGGGGCTACACACATGCATGCAAAACCTTTCCTTTTCTTTTAAATTTGCTGGTTTTGCTTCGTCTGACAAAAAAACAATCCCACTACATACATTACATTTTGAGGCTTTAATGTTGTCGTAATAGTTTGTTGTTATGACTGCATGGCTGGGGAACTGATTAGCCTGTTTTTATGTGTTTGCAGGGTGCATTCTGGGGCTTGATGGTTGGTTTGGTGGTAGGTGTGTGCAGGATGGTGTTGGAGTTCGCCTTCCCTCCTCCCAGATGTGGCGTTGTGGACTCAGCTCCCATGGTGTTGCGCAGCGTTCACTACCTCCACTTCGCCATTCTGCTCTGCGGACTCACTGCTATCGTGGTAGCAGTTGTGTCACTTCTCACACCGCCGCCTAGCCACGAACAGGTTGGCACTCATGCATGTATTAAAGAGCAACAGATCCTCCAGGGAAGTATTTGTTAAATGTTTGAAGTTTCATTGTAACAACAAATCCTATGTGTCAAACAGCCTGTGAATGAACCCAAAAGGCAAACATCACCTTGAAGCAACGCCCTGTTTTAGCATGTTTTAACAGATTTTGCCAAAGCTCTGCCAAATATTGTTTCAGCACACAAAGTTCCCAACACAACATCTAGTTATGTGCCCAAACTGCTTTACAGTTGCAGATACTCAAACTGTAACACTATAAGCTTAGCAGAAACGATGAACTCTCATTTAGTATCTGTAATCTCCACAGACATTCAAACCACATGACTGTCCACACTTTAACCACTCCACTATATCCTCCCTTTTACTCTTAGTTAATCACTGAATGGGTTATTGCAACGGTTTAATTGTGTCTTTTTTTCTTTTTTTTTTTTTAGCTTGAAATAAAAATGCAGTAATTGCCGAGAGAAAAAAGTTAAACACCCTCAATGGTTTTAAATTTAAAGCCATGGAAAACTGAAATATTCAAAAGGACTAACATAGACTGTCCAGGACTAGATCTTAAATGTATGATCTGGTTCCCTACTAACGTGTATAAATACTCTCAAATATGCATATGAAGGGTGGTCATGTTTATTTTAATAATTCATCATTTAATACAATTGTTCTGTCCAAAATGACAGTAGATTATAGCAGCTCTAAAATACAACACTCAGAAAAGTTTTTCCATTAGAAAAAAAAGTTTAGAAAAAAAACAAATTACACTATTTATCAATGTACTAATTGACTCACTTTGAGAGGAAAATTTATTCAGATCAAAAAGATTTTATGAGGATTCAAAGCGTTATTCTAGCTCAGCATATTACAAGGTCTCATACAATCAATAGGAGCAGGTTGCTGAAGGAAATATGAAACTCTCCTATTGAATATATGTATGTATATATGTATATATACTTTAATCAATAAAACAGGCACATCTAGTGTCCAGCAGGCTGAGATGCTGTAAGCGCCCAAGCTAAATAAAATGACTATGATGACTATATTTAATTTGGTATGGCAAGCAAAAACTGGGCTCCATGCTCTCTGCACTGCATAGATTGTCTTGTGTGTCGAAAACGTACGAGCAGTGCACAATTGTATGAACACAGGGCTTTGAGGTCAAAGCAGCTCAGCCTTTGTTTGGGGCCCCCCTGGCCAGCTTAGAGGCCCCAGGCAATTACTTGGTTTGCTTGCCTTGCTGCAACGGGCCTTTCTATACCTGCTTGTATTTTGGGGTCTTTTGGGCCTGGAATCTGAAAGACGAGAAAACCCACTGAATTAAATGAAATGAACAAGGAAATAAAAAAATATTTAGAAAGAAGTCTCTTCCAAGAGGATCATAGAGCCCAACAGATCCATTATTGAGGCATCAAACTCTAACACACTTAGAGGCTATGGTGGGTCAGTTTGAAGCATGGTTTCACCTTCTCACAGAAATGTTCCAAAAGTTTCCAGCATATACTGCAGACTTGGCCAGACTTGATTTCTTTTTTGCTTTTTTTATAAGACAAGTTGCCCAAAGATAAGAAGACCAAAGATTAACAGTAAAGTAGATTCCATAGATAACAGCAGAAAGAGCCAATCCCGTACCAAATCTGCTGCCTGTGTCATTGAGAGCAGATGATTAGAAAATTGTCCTATAAAAGCTAACAGAGCATGAGGAAGCAGCTTTAGATAAAGGACTTAATTTCAGCCTCTATTTAAGAGAGATGGTATACATGCATCTTATAATTTCCATTGAGTTAAAAAGATAGAGGATTAAAGTATAACAGGGTTAAAGTTGCAGTAACTCTCTCCTTTGCTAAACCTCTTTTAAACACAATGCTATCCATAAGAAAGAAGGCCAGAATAACCCCTAAGGAACAACTAACTAGTCATGTTGTTTTAGGTTTTACATAGTTTTAAAGCAAGAGCAATTATTGAAGAGGGAAGCATACATCCCACTCCCACAGACTGCCACTATGGGTCCCTGAGCAAGACCCTAAACCCCCACACTACTCCCCGGGCGCCGCACAATGGCAGCCCACTGCTCCCAAGGGGATGAGTTAAATTTGGAGAATTAATTTTGTTGCTGTTCAATGACGTTCCCAAAAAAGTTTCGTGAAGAAAAACCGTTCCTGTAGTGTTTTATTTAGCATTTTGTAAATCCCATTGAGTTCTGGGATTTACAAAATGCTAAATAAAACAAGACAGGAGCGGTTTTTCTTCACGAAACTTTTTTGGGAACGTCATTGAACAGCGCTGACGACCCGGTGAGTAGCATATTTAAAAAAAAGAACGTTTAAAGTTGTTTTAAGGACATTATCAGACATGCACTATGGAAGCCATTCTGAAGCAGCCACGGGGGGATTCTGCATGAGCCAAATATCAGAGACAGGACCAATTGTCAAAATTTTGATGTCGATCATTCGATTTCATCCTGGACACTACAGAAAATGGGCTAAAAGTGTTAAAAAACGGAATTCTCCTTTAATCAATAAATAAACTTCATTAAGTTTTGTTGTAGGTTCCTCTTCTTGTGAGGCAACTGTGAATATGGCCCACTACTTTAGTTTTATTTACCAAAACCAAGCCATTAGTCATGAATGTGCTGTCAAACAAAGGATTTGATAAAGTTGACTACAAACTAGGGACAACATATATTTAATCACTAAACAACAAATGACAGAAAATTGGGAAATTTTAATTCTAGGCATAAAACAGAAAGTCAAACTGTAACCCACTGACTTCTTTGTACCTCGCTCTGCAATTTTTAATTTATAAACTACCTATATGAGGAGTGGACTCACCACCAAATCAAAAGGTTGTTTGGGTTTAGCATATATTTTAATAAATCATTGCAATCCTCCCAATGAAGACGAAGTACATTTTCATCTCCTCATTCATCAACAGACACCTGATGCTAAAATGCTCAATACTCAATCCTGCATGTTTCAGAGTAAATTGATTCCAATCTTTTACTTTGTGATAGCATCTTCCCTTTGATTTCTAAAAGTTTTCCTTAAGTTTCTAACTCTTGTCTCTAACGTACAAATAATATCATGTGTGCACAAAAATTAGAAAAGTGGAAGACAAAAGCTGTCTACAGCTAATGAACTGCTGATGTAAGTCATGTATCTAACAGTAAATAAGTCTAGGAAAGACTTGACAGAAACAATAACAAGAAAACAGGAAAAATTGTCTCCCTGTAGGCAAAATAAAACACAAAGTGGTAGGATTTGATTGATCTTAAAGTAAAAACAGAAAAGAAAAAAAAATATTCAGAAGTTGTTTAAAGGTTGAACTAAAAAATGAAGAAGAAATAAACCTGTACTGATGATGGTCAAAGGACACATTTATCTTTTTGGTTTTCCATGGAAACTTACCTCCATGAACCCACACAGGTCACGCAGTGAGGTTAAACTCAGGCTTCAGTTAGGTCCTCTATCAACTTTCTTTCACATGACTAAGGAAAGAAAAAGTCTAGTGTACAAATGAGCCTCCCAGGTATGTTTCAGGAACATTTCAGTTGGTTCAATTGTTTGTTTTTAATGGAGAGTACAGCCAATACAGACATGAAATCAAACCAAAATGTTAATGTCTTTTTCTGTAAACTACTAAGAGTTTACATGTTCAATTGAAGTTAAAATACTCTTTTTTTCCTTAATTTTTATCTAGATGTGTCAGATGTCAGTCTGTGGATTAGACCCAATTATTTCAAACCTTTCGCCTCTGTGTTTTTCTGCTTTCCCAGGTGCGTAACCTGACCTGGTGGACAATAACTGAGGAGCCAGAAGGAGAGATTCCCCTCCAGAAAGTCTCTGCCGTCCACCACCGTAACACACATGGTAATATTCTGAGACTATTTCAGCCATCCTTTTCCACATTGGAATGATCAGATGTGTAACTGTGGATCTCCTGTGTGTGATGATGATGATGAAGCAGGAGGAAGGGGATCTGAGCAGAGCCATCGTGGGATGTGTGGACAGGGGGCGGCATTGTGCATCTCAGCTATTCGGTGCTCAGAACAGGCTCCCACTGCCAGAGTTCCCACCATCCGTGAGAGCGTGTTCTGGTCCAGGTTCTGTTGTGGCAACGCTCTCCTCTTGATCAGCATTAATATTTTCCTGTATGCTTACTTTGCCTGAATTGGGGTTTTAATGCCGCACCACACTATAGCTCCAGCAGAACACTTGCTGCAATTTAAAGAAAGCTGGATGAGGTTATTTACAATATTTTTTTTGTTTTGTTTAGGATTTCAGTTGTTAGATGCCAGGCTGCTACAGCACAGTGTTAAAAATTAAACCAACTCAGTCCCTTTATTGTGTGCTTGGAGCCAACCAGACTTTTTCTATAAACCTTCATTGGTCTTGATCCCCTGTTCCCTTCAATTTCCTAAGTTTCCAGTTCTATACTTGTCTCTAACTTCCAAAGAAGATTATTTAAGTGCAACAATAAGAAGACAAGTGGAAGATAAAGGTTGTCTGCAGCTAATGAACTGTTGTTGAAAGTTATGTATCTAACAAGCATTAAATAAATCCAGCAGAGGCCTGTGGAAAAAGATAACTACTTGATCTGACTTTACAAGATAAAAGGACAAACTGGGTCACTTTTGCAAAGCAAAAATTAAAAGTTATAGGATTTGTTCACAATATGATAGTTTTATTTAATTAGATAATTTACTTTGATTTCAATGCCTATTTGCGCCCAGAATCATTTCATACGGTTATGATTTATTATTATTATTTTAGTATTTATAATTGTAAAAATAAGATCATTATTTAATATGAAACATGAAAAGCAAAAACACAAACATACATCCAGAAAAAGTAAAAACATGAAGTAAAGATGAAAGATTTGATAAAGATGATTGTAAAAGATATTCATATCTCCTTCACTCTCCGAGAAAGCTTTACCAGACTTTATTTCCAATCACGTATTTTGAACCATTGATCCACTCATCCATCGATCTTCTTCATCCCATTCTGCAGCTCTAGCAGTTTTAATATGCAAAGCCTCTTACCAGTACTTTTGAATTTATAGCCTAAAATTGTCTTTACAGAAAAATTGAGTGGAGAAAAATACAGAAATTTTGCCTTTTGAATGAAAGCATTTACTAGAAAAATTTTACAAGCTGCTTTTATTTTTTGTCTAAAATATCTGTTAAATTTAGGTTTAACCCTTTTTATACATCTGTTCTAGGCCTTTAACCGTAAGTCACTTTTATGATTGATTTGAAAAATCAAAAATGCTTTAGTTTTTCTGGTAAGTCATCATCCTTTTGTCTGTAAACCATTCGTGACTTCAGGTATTTTTTTTTTTATATAAACATTGTTAATTTTTGAATATTCACACTGATTTACAATAGAGTATATATTCCTTAAACAATGACTTTTGAAATAAAATCAAATATTGTTTTAATGTCACATGTGTTCAACTTTTTAAGATGTTCTGTGAAACAGATATTTTACACAAAATTTCTATTTTATTTCAATTATATTTCCAATGAACTAAAAAATATGTTTGCGAAACAAGCAAAAAATACAATCAATTCATGTAGAGGAATCTTTCGGAAGGATAAAATCTAAATTTAACGGATCAGTTTGCAGCTGGTAATGCTGCAGGATTGCATTTCAAAGATGAGATGATAAAAAAATGAACGTTTTTTCCATAAACTCTTTATATTTCAATGTATTTCAAGGTTTCCATTAAAGGGGCAAATGTATATTAAATCAACATCTGATGATCAGTGAGTTAAATATCATTGTTATAATTAGGTTAGAAGGTTAGATCACTATATTTCTTGTTGAGGAATTATCAAATGGTACAGATTAATAATCAAAAGTAAATAAAAACAACAAAACACAAAGTGGTTTCTGAAAGCTCTGAGAATGATAGCAACGTAATGTCTTAGCTAAGAAACTGGAAATGGGTCTTATAAAACAACATGCTAAATAAACATTTAACATTTTTCCGTTTCACGCCTCACTTCATCATAGAGAGCTTTGATTTTCAGTCTGTGTTACAGGAACAAACGGTGTTACTTGGATTGCCTTTTAGTCTGAGCCGTTTACAACTTATTTAATCATAAAATAAACTGCAATCTAGAGCAAACACAATACTTGAAGCATATTTCATTTACTTCAAAAATATATTTTTTTCAAAGAGAACTACAAAGGAGAATATCTGGAAACTTTTCAAGAAAAAAAACTAAAGTACTGGTGCTCTTCATTTACTTCTGAAGTATCTTGATTTGAAAATACAGCTTAAAATACACCATAACTGGGTTCAATTTATAACTTGGAAAATTCGGTTAGATTAGATGATTGTTGGCTTCAGAAACCAGGCTAATTATAGTTAGCATTACAAATTAAATTCAGTTTAAAGTTTAATCCAATATTCAGTTTCTCTCTGTCAGGAAATACAGACAAATATCTCTGGAAAGATCATTTTATGATAGCAAAACAGTGGAAACTTGGGGGAAAAAAAGTTTTTAAAATCTAAATTTATTCAAAAAATTATAATAAAAAAAAAATGGTCCATACCCTTCTCCTTCATGAATGCAAATAATCTTTGTGTAAGTTTCCACTGGTATCTCCCCAGTTTATCTTCAGTGATGAGTGTGTCTTTAAAGGGGCAGTAAGTTAAAAATAGACTGTAAAATTAATCAAAAATCATTCTCATTTTTTACCTGGAATGAAAGGAACAATACCTGTCAACATTCAACCCTCTCCATCAACAATTTCTTAGTCAAATGTCACTTTCAATCCTAAAGGTATGATGTGGAAAAATTTGGGTGCGGTGTCTTTGCTTCCTGTTTCCTGATTCAATCAGATGGGAATTCCCAGGCTTGCCAAAACAGCGGAATTTGGTATTTTATGTCAACAAAAGGGCGGCAGCCTGCAAACATGCAACCCTGCAGAAGAAGAGAAATAGGCTCAACAATAATTTAGTGGATTATCAGATAGATTAATAGCAGACTACTCTAAAGCATTACCTGTGAGAAGAAAGAAGTCGGTAAAATTAAGATTCATTCACATTTTCCGGTAGTATGAGTAATTTTAATTGCATGTCTCTACATTTCAAGCTTTCAAACAATAATGGAATCTGTTTACAAGTAGAGGTTGTCCATGTGTTTGCAACTGGGTGCAAGATAAAAAAAAAAACGTCCTAATTTGCATGTAATTATTTATGACTGCAGCTATAACAAGGACACAGCAGCCATGTTGGATTTTGACTTTAGGTTGGATTTGGTGTGGAATTCCTCCCTCTCCGTTTTGGTGTTCTGGGTTTGGGAGACTCTCCTACAACCTGGACTTTTGGAAATGTTGACTTAAAACATCCAGGGGAATATGGACAAAAACGGCCACTTTTTTTTTCTTATTTTCTTTGGCCACAAAACACAGAAAACAAAAACAGAATAAGTCCAACTTCTGTTGTACAACTGTCTCAAAGTGCTGAGAGTACTTAGAGATATATTTGTATTTATTGCAGGGATTCTTGTGATTAACATCATAAAATAAACAAGAGAATACTCAATGACAACCTTATAAAACGGTGGACAAGACAAAGTGCTGTAATTATTGGCACCTTGTTGTTTACTAGACGTAAAACAACGTTTTCTGAAAATTTCCTCTCATTTTTCTAATCCATCATTAAGCTATTTACACATCTTCACCAGGGGATCAATAAGTGTTGAATATATTGGATCAGTGTTTACATATCAATTTCAAAATATTCAATTACACCCAGAGAAAAGGCAGAAATGTAGGGGTAACATCTGACAGTGGCATACAATCAGACCAGTGCGGTTTTTGATCAGAGCCATATGGGCAGCGACCCAGGGCTGCATCAGGAAAGGGAGGCACATTAGCACCAGGTCTTTCGGACAAGTTGTTATTTACATGCTGCTGTCAAAAGGGAGACTATTTGAAATGCAACCCATTTCTTCTTGCCCTATAGTTTTAATGATTTTCTGCGTTTTGATCAATGGGGGGAAGGGCTACCCTATATGCCCTTCATGCAAGAACTGCCTCTGGTCCTGGCTGAGAAGCCTCAAAAACTTGGTCAGTGTACTGAGCATCTGTAGTTAATGGTGAAGTGGCTGGACAAACTCTGGAGGAAAGATGCCAACACGGCCCCGACAGCGCCCCCTCCAGCTTAGGGTGCTTGAACAGTCTAGGAGGTCGATGATTTCATTGCGCTCGAAGTGGAGGTGGGTAGTCTGAGAGGGGGTGTAGTCACACAGAGCGCGGGCCACCCGAGGCCTCTGCTGAAAGACAAACCATGGCGTCAGACACACAGGTGTGCAATTATCAGCTGATTCTGAGGTGAAATGACATCTTATTATGTGTCATACCTCCAAAACAGGTTTCAGTGAATGTGCAGAGGCCTGTCGCTCTCTCAGAGGAGGGTTAGAGTGGAGGTGGGCTGAGGGGATCGACTCTATGGAGCTGCTTTTATATGGGTTAGGATATGGGTTCCGTCCAGGATGTGAGTGTTGGTTAGGGGATGATGGGAAATCCCTCAGGCGGACCACTTTCTCCACAGCAATGCTGTGCGCTCTGTAGAACTCCACCAGGAGGTTCAGGGAGCAGAAGGCCTTATCCCAGATGTAGTACTGACCACCCCCCTCCAGAACCCTGAAGTGCTCCACCCTGTCGCCGTAGCTGCCAAAAGAGACAGCAGAAAGAAGTCAGGTGATGAAAGGCAGGTATGTGTGCTTCATTATACTCCATCTTCCCCTTCGTCTTCATTCCTGTTGTCTGTTTCTTTGTTTGCAGGAATTCACTTGAGCCATTCTGTGCATAACTTTCAGTGTGGGAACTGAGACCTTTGCAAAATGGTTATCACTTGGATCGTTTTGCTCAGTGAACTGCCTTGAAAAACAATTTGTATGACTCAGCACTTCATTTAAAAAAATACAAATATTTGAAACTTTAATTCAGGGCTGAAACAATTAATCAGATTAATCGTGAATAATTGATTATTGAAATAATCATCAACTAATTTAGTAATAGATTAATCGTTAACTGGAGTGTAGAGACTGTAAAACATTCCTTTAGCTGACAGAACAATCCACTTAGAGCTGTAATTATATCAAAATTGTTAAAAGATATTAACATTTTATATTTAAGATAACAAAAACATTTTCTTCTGTCAATGCAGATCTCCTTTTTTTTGTAAAAAATCTTTTACTTGGCTATCCGATTATTAATCCATTAATCTAAAAAATAATCGTCAGATTAATCGATTTGCAAAATAATTGTTAGTTGCAGCCCTACTTTAATCCACAATGAAGGTGATGTGAAAAATACAGACTGCAGTTGGTGAAAAAAATATCTCAACTCCTAAACTATTTCTATAATGCAAATAATAATGATTGTCATAGAAATCAGATTTATTATTTTGACTATATACTGGTTCATGTTTCCTGGTTTGAAATTTGTATATGCAGTCCTCAGCCCTCCACCAAGCAGGTAAGACAACTGCAGGTCCAGAGAATAACGTCACTGAAGCCAGATGGATGGAGACAGAGAGTAAAAAACAGAGGCTGGAAAACCCCTGAAAATACTGTCAGACACCCTAAATGTCATCTGATTAAAAAGATAAACATGTTGGAAATGTCGCAAACAGATTTACACATTCAAAGAATAAAAATGTTACCCATTCTTTGCTGGAAAAACAGCTGAAATTTACACAG